CAGCAACTTTATTAAACTAATATTGCCAAGTTTAAAAGCTCAAAATGCAGAGCGGAGTGCTAACGAGGTTAATTACAAGGGTCAGTCAGACATAAAGCACCTCAAAACTCAGGGGAGCTGCAAAAATCAAGATCCTTGGCCATAATCCTGCGTATGACCTAAATGACATATGATATTAGCTTTTTGGAAAGTTTTTTTTACATACTGTGTGATCATAGTGAAAATTGATTATCAACCAATATTCAATTTTCATAATTTGACTTTAATACCCATGACTTTCATGGACTGAAAATTATTTTTAAAAAAGGACACCGCTAACTTCAACTGGCTTCTATGATCACCTGACAAACCTAGGTAACCCACATGGGAGATTTTTTAAAAACCTGCTAGTCAAAATTATCATTTTAATCAAGAAGCAGTGAAAATCAATGAAGTGTCACAAAATCTGTAATTCTTGTTTCACTCAAACATGCATGGTCCTTTTCATATATTGAAGATGGAAGGTTACCCGCAGGTAAAATAAAAACAACTGCGGATGCTGGAAACCTGAAACAAAACCAGAAATTGCTGGAGAAACTCAGCTGGTCTGGCAGCATCTGCGGGGAGAGTAACAGAGTTAACATTTCAAGTCCAGTGACCCTTCTTCAGCATTCAGTTTAGAAAAGACAACATAACTAGACTTGAAATATACAAACAAACCAAATGTCAGCAGCTTGCTTTGAGTAGTGAAGTAAGAGAAAGCAACATGGCCTGAACACAACAAAGATACAGTAAGTTCCTCTCATCCCCTCTCTCTCAAATTCAATCTGAGGCATTCGCCAATAAAAGCCAACTTGGAACGATAATAACAATTTACTGTGGACTCCAGGACATCTGCCATTGTGAAAGAAACAGGACAGCAGATAAGGGGTTAGGAGTCAGATTTCATTCTCTTAATTCAGACACTAACACCGTAAACTGTGACTGCCTTTACCTACTTTTCTATAACAAATACATGCCCTCCATCATATTCTTGTAAGCTCATTACCTGTGTTTGTGTGTGCATTTTTCATCACATTTTTGTTTTGGGTAATGAAACTCCACTCTTTCACTCAGGAAAACCTGGGAATTACTTCCTTTATTTTTGATCTGGTTAAGTAAGTTTAACGTAAGTGATACCTAAAGAGTCTAAAAATAAAAACGCACTTACTATGACTGACCCAGAGGTGGTTAAAAAATGCAGGTGCCATTGTAACAATATTTGAGTAGAAATGTAGGTTTAATTGAAAAGTAAGTAAAACTAATTGGGTCGGATGCACATGATGTTAGACAAATTTAAAAATAAAGATTCATGTAGGAGTTAACCATTAAAGATATAATTGTATTAGAAGGAACAGCCAGAAAGGTCCACTTTGAAATTAGGATACCTCTAGGAGGAGACATGGAGACAACAAAAATGTGCTATTACTTAAATTAATAGACTAAACATATAAACAGTAGTTTAATCACCGAAAGGAAGGCCTAGAAGGCAACATTGTAACATCACACCTGGTGTGAAAATAAGATGTTAATTAGAGGAAGAATACATGAAGTATCCAAATGATACAAGATGGCAAAGATCCTCAACTTATGAATATAATTAGAAACCATAATAAGATGACATTCCTAAAGACAGAGAAATGAAACATCTTTACCAACAAATCTTTGACAAAGGATGACTTTTTTAAGTTTTGAAAAAATATGGGCGGAATTAAAAGTATCCATATGATGGTATACAACATCAGAAACAAAGTGACACGGTAAAAGCTCACAACTTCATAAAGGAATCTTCATCAAACAATTTCAGAATAATGTCAAATGGTATGGCATCACATGAAAGTGGGAGGTACGTACAGAAAAGGTTAAAACCACATTTGTAAAGAGGGTGGGATCCAAAAAACATAAAGTAAGGCACTTTAATGAAATTACAGAAGTATGAAGAAACTTCAGATAACACTTTCAACAGATATTTTCTTCCACTGGGAAAAGATGCCTTGCTTGGTTGGGGCCTTCAGGAAAAGCTTTACTTTAAATGTTGATGGATATTCTATTCTTAGATATTGTTAGATATTCTACTCTTAGAAATTCCTAGATATTTCTAGGTATTCTCAGATATTTTTGAATATTTATGAAAAAGATCAAACAGGACTCTGTAGATTTGATATTAAATCTTTTGATAGTATTAGCATAGCTATAAAACTGAAAATGCATTGCTTGTTAATTTCTGTTAATAATTTACTCATTTTACTCTTTTATCTCATTTATAATTTTCAATTACAACTGAAATAACCCCTATTTTCTCTACTCCTTAAGTGAAGAAGTATATATTCTGGAAAGATAAATCTCAGAGCTTTAAAATATATGGTAAATTTACAGCATAGCTAAGGCTTATTTAAATTAAGCAGAGATAGCAAGAACTGCAGATGCTGGAGTCAGAGATAACACGGTTTGGAGCTGGAGGAATATAGCAGGCCAGGCAGCATCAGAGGAGCAGGAAAGTTGGCGTTTCGGGTTGGGACCCTTCTTCAGAAATGGGCAGTGGAGTGCATCTGGAATGAAAAATGCACCAATAACATTCCAAATAATTCACCAATAAAGTCATTGAAGGTTTGTGTTATTGAGTGGTTTACGTCAACAGTTTGGTTGTTCATAGCCAAACATTAAAAGAACAATTCCACAACCTAAATGAACTCTTTGATTGGCCACAAAAAGCGAATTTAGTTATAAATCTGGCTAAGCATGGATTTGCCTAAGCAAAGGTGACTTATTTGGGCCACACTGCAGGACAAGTAACAATAAAGGTATTCTGGATTTCCCTGTTCAGAACAATACATGAAATCATGCATTATGTTGGCATGAATGGATCTTCTTATACGTCTTTCCTCCCACAGTCCAAAGATGTGCAGGCTAGGTGGATTGTAGAGTTCAGTAATGTGTGGATTAGGGGGATGGGTCTGGGTGGGATGCTCTGAGGGTCAGTGTGGACTTGTTGGGCCGAAGGGCCTGGTTCCACACTGTAGGGATTCTATGAACTTCTATGAATAAGTTTTCCTGCATGTCAGCATTGTAAGTGCACCTTTAACAAATCTGTTGAGGAACGGCAAAAATTTGAATGTACGTAAGAGTGTGAAAGTGCCTTTGAAAACCTGAAATCTCTGCTTGTAACAGCACTAGTTTTCACTCTTTCAAAATTTTGAGAAGCTATTCAGGCTGCTGTTGATGCCAATGATATCATTACAGTGCATAAGGAGTGCACCCCTATTCAAAGGAGCTTTTCACAGCCTACATGCACCATTCTAGCAGAAAGTCTGGTCAGGCTGAATCACACTCCAATACCAGCATACCAACTGCAAAATTCTTAAAAACTAAAATAATCACACAAAAGTACTTCTTCCATATACAACAGCTTGCCTTTATATAACACCTTTAACCTAGTAAAGCCTCTCAATAGGTTTCAGAGAAGCATCAAACAAAATTTGACACAGAAGCACAAAAGGAGACATTAGGTCAGATTGCAGAATCGTTAAAACGTGGGAGGCAGCCACCCAGTCCATTGATTTCATTTTTTGCTTTCTAGAAGAACAGTTAAACTTGCTCCACCTCCTTGCACTTTTTTCATAATCTTGCAATTTTATCTTCAGCAGGTTTATTGAATTATTTTATGAAATCTACGACTGAATGTGCCTAACCTCCACCTCAGGTAATACATTCCATATTCTAACCACACTGAGTAAACAAAGGTGTCTCATGATTCTGTTGGTTCTTTTGCCATTAACCTTAAATCCATAGTCTGAACCCCCGCAGAAACTGTTCCTCTACACAATTTTGTATTATCTCCTGTTTTTGTTTCAGGTCCAGGATGGTGGCTCAGCAGTTAGCATAGCTGCCTCATAGCACCAGCAACTCAGGTTCAATTCCAGCCTTGGGCAACTGTCTGTGTGGAGTTTGTACATTCTCCCTGCATCTGGGTGGGTTTCATCCGGGTGTTCCAGTTTCCTCCCACAGTCCAAAGGTGTACTGTTAGGTGGAATGGCCATGCCAAATTGCCCATAGAGTCCAGGGATGTGTCAGCTAGGTGGATTAGCCATGGGAAATGCAGAGTTACAGGTCTGGGTGGGATGCTCTTCGGAGAGTTGGTGTGGACTTGTTGGGCTGAATGGCCTGTTTCTACAGTGTAGGGATTTGATTTGAATAGGGATTCTATGATTTGCAGAATTTTGCTTTTTTATTAGAATTTTTTGAGATGAAGGAAAGAAAATCATACTACACTTCAAACAGGCCAAATATAATTGACTTTGATATTTGAAAGAATCTTTACGTTAAACTTTAGATTATATGCTTAAAAATCAGCATTGAATTAAACTATTTTTTAAAACAATTAGATGAAAATGTTTCATCATAGCCTTCATTTTAAAATTTGAATACCAGATTCTAATTATTGCTTATGCAAACCAGTGAAAGAAAGAATTCAATAGATGGGTTTCAGTGGAATGAGACAGTTTAAGAAAGAGCTTCCCTCTTATTCCCTCAGAGAACAAATAACCCATTCTTGGAACAGAATATTAAGGCTTCTCAAGGGCAACTAGGAATAGGCATTAAATCCTGCCCCAAACAGCGACACTCACATCCCATTAGTGCATTAAAAAAATTACCTTTATATATGCCAATGTACAAAGACCATGCATTGACAGTCAACGTTCATCTTAGAAAACATATTTTTCCTGCACGTTCCTTTTCATAAGGCACCCTGGCACACAGAAGGACATCTATTCATTCTATTAAACAGACAAATACTACCAATGATCAATTTAATGGTCTGACCAAGAAGAACCAGTTATAAACTGTTGTTTCTATTGAATTCTACTAATAGTCATCAGAAAATCTAATCCTATACATTAAAACTTTCCAGCATTTCAGGCACATACAGTAATTGCAATTCTGCTCTACCTTCCCCATCTAGCATTTATCCCACACATTAGTACCTGCACTGGAGGATCCGTTGTTTCTTCTGAAGCTCCATGCCCATTCTATAAAATAAAAAGTCAGAAAATAAATTGTTAACTAAACATAATGTATGAATTTTACATCAATAAACAAAGATTGTAAAAAATGTTTTAACAAGCTGCAGAATAGGTTTTCCATTCAAAATGGAGCAAGGACACTTCTGTGCACAGAACCTGAGAATTATTACATAATTCACGCAAATTTGGTCATAAGTCTAGTTTTAGCTCTCTGTTATCATTTAAATACTCGACCATTCGTGTGTCATCTGATTGATTATCTGACATCAAATGGTGAATGAGGTACATACTTCGACTCAACAATTGGCAACACTAACTTAATGTGTTCCATTCCCATCAAAAACTCAATCTTAGGACTGGACTTCCTCCATTGGCCTGGCAGTTTTCTCAGCCTGAGCCCCATTTAATGTTTCAAAGCACAACATGCAAGCAACCACTAAAACTATCAATTTCTATGTCTCCTCCAACACCCACTTGTAATACCCATCTCATGACCACTGCTGCTAATTCATGCTTAGGTTTCTTCCTCACATAAAGTGCAACTCGACCACAACTCTACTATATGCACTTTACCCTGTTTTACTGATTCCTGGTCCTCCAAAACACTAATTTTCAAATTCCTGTACTCATCTATAAATCTTGTAATGATCTTGTCCTTTCCAACATTTGTAACAAGATTCATCTCCATGTTCCATTGCACCCTCCTTGTTCCTGATATTGCATGCTTTGCATTCCCCAATTTGCCAACTCCATCTACACAACAAAATATCCAACTGTATTAGCTCCACACTTTGGGGTTTTTTTTTCAAAATTCCTCTATGCACTTCGATTGCCTCCCTCCAAAATAATTTAGATGTTAGTTAACTCCATGCTTTAAGATTATAAATGTAGTTTTTAAAATAAAAAACAAGCATGGGATGTAGGTGTCATTGGCAAAGCTAGCACTTATTAGCCATCCATAATTCATCTCAAAGATGCTCATGAATCTTTTGAACCTTCTGATTGCCGCAGTCTATTTGGTGCAGGTACGCTATTAGGTATGGAGCTCCAGGATTTTGATCCAGCGACAGCGAATAAATGACAATGTAGTTCCAAATCAGGACATTGTGAGACTTGCACCGCAGTAACTCACTAAGCTTTCTTTGACAAACTTGTGACCTCTACTGCCTAAGACAGCAAGGGCATAGATGCTTAGAAACATCACCTTCAAATTCCTCTCTGAATTATAAACCATAGGCAATAAATGCTGACCTTGACAGGGACTACCGCATCTTATAAACAATAAAAATATCCTGTGTCCAAAAATATGAACAATACTATGCTTTTATACGGTGCTTTTGAAGGGATAGAAGTATGGTTTGTGGCAATATTATTACTATTCTGCTCTGAAAGCAAGAAGGCAACAATTATTGATCAAGCAACTTGCAGATTTAGTCACCAGGAGACAGATTTTAATATATATCAGATTTTAATAGGCAACTGGGCCCCAGTCACAGGCATGCAACACACTACATAATTCATAGTTTTGCACCATGATATTTTATTTCTTCTGCACAGGACAGCACAAAAGTCTTTGAAACTGCTGTCAAATAGTGGCAGATAAATAAACTAAGCCTTGATAAACTTTTCCTTTATTTTCTATGTGAGGAACAGTTCTCTATCTCCTCAGCTCCTGCCAACAAAAGCATAGGGAAATTCCTCACCTGGGCACATTCTATGTTTTTAAATGACATCAAATCATATTGCAAAGATTGTCTCAGTAATATTCAAGCTCATTGCTAGATGTTAATAGATACCAAAATAATTAAATATTGGCAGCTACTTCAATAATGAAATTCACTGCAACGTATCTAGTTCACCACAACAAATTTAATATCGCTAGCTGATTTGTTAGGCTGTGCAGGAAGTGTAAAGTATTATAGTGAAGAAAAATTAGAAAAAAGAGAAAGCAGTTCCAACATTTACAAAACGAGAGAGAAAAATCATAATTCAAGGCAGCTTAAAGAAGCTTCCAACGTAGAGGATATTACCTAATTTCAAAGCTAACTAAAAGCAGCCTTTTCATTTCAAAGCAAGTTTTACAGCAAAGAGAGACTATCTTTCATAATCTAAATGAATATCAATATATAAAAAACTGTGGATGGCTGTTAGCTACAAGTTTAATATAACTCTCTAAATTTCTGAACTCATCTGAGCGATTGTTGACTCATTTCAGAGAGGAAACGGAAAGGACAGAAGGTTGCGTGTCCATCAAAACAGGCACATTTCTCATTAATCAGTTCAGAGCTACATTGGTGTATGCATGGTAACGTGCACTTTCTCTTGGTCTGGGTGCAAGATTTAGAAGTGCCAACAAAGCAAAGTTTTAAAAAACAAATCTGAAAGACCAAACCATGGCTCGAAGTCCCTAGATATTAAACTGTCATGGCTCCCAAATTTCAGCAAGATGAAATATATTTTAGTAATAACTTTGACATAAAAATTCTGTGGTAATAAAATACAAAGCGTTGAGACTATACTGATGTATAAGGTATATCCCAAGAGTTCACAGTAAGCTGAATAAAGAAAATATATGTTAATTCGCTTACCATTCTTTTGGTTAGATAAAATGGCACCTATTTGGTCTGAGTTGCAAGTCTTTTAGTTTGGTTTGAGCTGAATCACTACCTTGGATTTGGCTAACACCTGAAAGATTTTCAAGCTTGAATGTAATTGGCGGGTCTTTATGCTGGCTCACACCTAATGTCAGTGTAATCTGCAGGAAGTGCACCCAATTGCAGCTCCTCACAGGCCGCATGGATTGGTTGGAGGAGCAATTGGATGCACTTAGGAGCATGAGGGTGGCGGAAAGCGTCATAGACAGTAGTTTTAGAGATGTGGTGACACCCAAGGTGCAGGCATATAGATGGGTGACCGCTAGAAGGGGCAAGCAGCCGGTGCAGGAATCCTCTGTGGTCAACTTCTATGGTTTAAAGGTGATGGACAAGGCAAGTTTTTTACACAGAGGGTGGTGGGTGCCTGGAACCCGCTGCCGGGGTAGGTAGTGGAGGAAGATACGATAGTGACTTTTAAAGGGCGTCTTGACAAATACATGAATAACATGAGAATAGAGAGACACGATTCCCGGAAGGGTAGGGGGTTTTAGTTGTGATGGGCAGCATGTTGGTGCAGGCTTGGAGGGCCAAAGGGCCTGTTCCCATGCTGCAACTTTCTTTGTTCTTTTTGTTGTTCTAATGAAGACTCAGCATTCAGCTATGGTTAGAATCAACATCTGGGATCCAAAGCAAGGGGTGTGTGACACTGTCAGTGTGACAACGAAGATGGCGGAAGGCATATCAGTGAACTGAGCCTTTTTGCTGAAGTAAATGTTGCAATATGGATTTAAAGTCTGGACATCTACCTCCAAGAACTTTCCCTTAGCAGGTTATGTAAATTTTACATTCAAAAATGTTGTGTGAAGCCTGCAAGCATTCAAGGAGAAAGGAAACAAAGCACCACTTTTGATTCCTTATTACAGAGCTGCCCTTTACTGCCAGCACACGTTAGGACCATCCATATGTATAACCCACATGTCCCTATTGTGAATGTGCTGAAATTTCTTGTCAGCTATTTGACGTGACTGGAAACAGCAATGAAGTCAACACCCTGTTCGGGATATGGATTTGCATGCAGCAGGTGAAGGTGTAAGGGAGGTATCCCCCACGCTTCTTCCTGCTGTGGTACTGGAGAAAGTCTTGGATACTTAACGCACATGGAACAGTCCAGAGTCCTGTGGCAGACCTGGAATGTGGTAGCCAACTGCAAAGCAATCTTCCAGGGCAACTGTAAATATGAAAGGCCACCAGATTTTAAAAGAGCTGTAGGCAGATGAACTGCTGCAAGCTGTGTGATGGATCAGGCTACCTCTACAAGGCCTGAGCAAAAGCAATCTTCCATTACATATAGGTGGCAAAAACCAAGGTGGGCCACAAGGAAGAGTTGGACCAAAACTCGGCCCTAAGCTTCTTCCTGTCCAGACAGAGTAAATTGAAGAAGAGGAGTCAGTAGCAGAACAACCAAGAGGTAGGGAAGAAGATGCGAAGGATCTTTGGTGACTTTCTGCAGTGCATCTTGTAGATAGTACTCACTGTTGTTACTGAGTGTTGGCAGTGGAGAGATTGGATGCTTGTGGATGTGGCACCAAGCAAGTAGGCTACTTTGTCCTAAATGGTGTCAAGCTTCTTGAGTATTGTTGGAGCTACATTCAACTAGGCAAGTGGGGAGTCTTCCAAAACAGTCTTGACTTTTGCCTTGTCGATGGTGGGCAGACTTTCTAGGGAGTCAGGAGGTAAGTTACTCACAGGAGTGTTCCTAGCTTCTAACCTTGCTCTTGTAGTCACCCTTTTTATATGGCGAGTCCAGTTGAGTTTCTGGTCAATGGTAACCCAATGGTGCTGAACATTACATAATCATTGATGAACATCCCCACTTCTGACCTTTTGATGGAGGGAAGGTCATTGAAGATGACTAGTCCCAGGACACTACCCTGAAGAATTCGTGCAGAGATGTCCTGGAGCTGAGATAACTAACCTCCAACCACAACCATCTTCTTATATGCCAAGTATGACACCTACCAGTGGAGAGTTTGCCCCTTGATTCCCATTGATTCCAGTTTTGCTAGGGTCCTTGATGCCACATTTAGTTGCATGCAGTCTTGATGTCAAGGGCTATCACTCTCACCTCACCTCTGGGATTCAGTACTTTTGTACATATTTAAACCAAAGCCATAACGAGGTCAGAGCTGAATAGTCCTGGCAGAACTCAAACTGGGCATCAGTGAGCAAGTTATTGCTGAGCAGGTGTGGCTTGACAGCATTGTTGATGACACCTTTCCACCTTTCCTGATGATCAAGAGTAGAGTGTTGCGGGGTTTGATACCAGTGTTGTAACTGCACTGGAACAGCTTGGCTAGGGGAGCAGCAAGTTCGGGAGGACAAGTCTTCAGCACTATTGCTGGAATGTTGACA